TTTAATGGATTTTTCTCAAGGCAACTGCAAGCATTTTTGCACCTCAACAGGCTCTAGTTTTATGGAGCTGCTTAAAATTGGAAAATATGACTTATTTGAAACCAAAACTATACTTCAGTAAATTTGTTTGAATTCTCAAATGAATAAAAAAAATGTAATTTGACCTAGAGCTGACAACAGAAATTGGTATTTCAGGTAATAGCCTGCACAAGCTTGAGCAAGACTTAGCATTAGATCTGTTTAAAACACATTGCCTAGTGCAACAGCTTGTCTGGAAATCAAAATCTGTATGTTTATCTGTGTTAAGCCAGGCAGGTTTTAGGATAAAACTAAATTTTAAAAGTTTACAATTACTTTTGCCAGTGTTGCAGTTGTGTTTATTTCTACTTTACCTTGTCAATAAACACAGTATTCACCAATGAAGGGATAAAAAAATGGTACTCAATGTACTCTATACCACTTTTAACTCAAGAGGATGTACTATCTGAATGTATTTACACTCAGGAAACAGTAAAAGGTAATATACTTATATAAATATAATACCAAATGAAATTATAAATGGGTACTTTCCATAACCTCTTAAACTGACGTGATTCTTGTATTCTTGTTATCTGGAACAATTTTCACTGAAGATTCAAGTATTTTATTAATTTTCTTCTTTTGTGGGGGCCTCTTCTTGGAAGGGAGGAAATGTGAGGTTAAGTGTGAAAAGGCTATAAAGCTTTTTTTTCTTTCTTTTTTTTTTTCTGGTGATTTTTCATTTTTACAAAGGGCTTCCTATTTTTTCCTGTCTGAGAAATCATGTTCACAGTTGTAGGCAAGTGAATCCATAGTAGAAAATAAACTCCTCCTCAGTAAGAATTTTGTTTATGAGGAAGTTGTATTATTTGAATTCAACAAAGACACTAGTCATAAATCAAAAGTTCCTAAAAAAATAGGAAAATATTATTTCCATAATCTAAACCCTAAAAACCTGAGCTGAGCCTTCCAAATGTCATTTGACAAAAAAGGCACCTCAAAATTTTCCAATTACATTTTCTCTTCATTTGTGTATTGCTTTTATTTCAATTACTTCAATATTCTGAAAATTTCCTCAAATACTGGAACTTCAAGGCAGCAAAAGCTTTGATGACTGATAAATTCCTACAACACAATCAGCTTCTTTTAAGAAATTTCACATTTTCTAAGAGAAGTAATTAAATATTAATTGAGCAATTGAAATGTTCCTGGCCAAACCAAAATCTGGATTCACAAAGTAGTGCATCTAAGGAAGAGTGTAAAAACCTAAATAGAAGAATTAAGTTGAAGTCTGTCTTGCTTTACTTTCATTCCAAAGTTATCTTTACAAAGAGATTAAAAAATTAACTTACGTATAGGTTGTCTCAGGAAACAGAAGTGTTACTGATAAGAAAAGCAGGAAATAGGAAATTTCAGAAACTAAACTGCAGATTACGTATTGGAAAAAAGCAGGATCTTGTAACTTGAAGCAGTCTGATTCCTGGATGTTGTGTGGCACCATGGACTTCGAACTCAGTACACAGACTCTATGTGGGTTCCCACACTTGAATTCTTAACCTCAATGGCCAGTTGTTCTCAAATTGCAGTTGCAGAAGAGGCAAAAAGTCAAAGCAGCTCTCCAGCTTGAAATGCTATTCTTTATGCCATAGTTCATATATATATAGTAATTTACAGTGGTGTTACACAAAATCTAAAGTGGAGTGAAAATATAAACTTCTTTTTATTTTCTTTTTACTATTATTACTACAAATGAAGCTTTTTACACATCTGTTGCCCTTAATTATATCTAAGATAAAGTACTCAAGAAGTTTCCAAAGTAAAGACAAATTCCCTTAAATTAAAATCATTCTATAGTCATCTGTTTACTTATATAAATTACAATTTTCATGCTCTGAATTTCATGCTCATATCTCTCCATCTGGCATCGAAAGAAAAGCAGAAGTTAAGAAAATAAATTCAAACCTACACGATGATCTAATACATTAATGTCTACAGACATTTATTGCTGTACAACAGACACAGTTACTATAAACGTCAGGGATTTTAGGTCACTTAGTCCCATGAATAGAGTCTGTTGTCACACCTGCTAAAAAAAGCAGCCTGTAACCATAGCATTACTGGGTCTCCCTCTAAAGGCCACAATACAAAGCCTGTCTAGACACCTGGGCAACATGCCTCCAAGTCACTAATCAGAAAGCTGTTGGCACTGTGGAAGCTGACTCTACTGGCATAATTTGGGAGCAGACACAGACTTAGAAGCATCATATTTTTACAGTAGATATAGATGTAACTAGATTCAACAAGGCTGTGTCAAGTACTGCACTTGGGTCACAACAACCCCATGCAATGCTACAGGCCTGAGGAAGACTGGCTGGAAAGATGCCCAGTGGAAAAGGACCTGGGTGTGTTGCTTGACAGTTGGCTGAATGTGAGCCAGCCGAGTGCCTAGGTAGCCAAGAAGGCCAATAGCATCTTGGCTTGTATCAGAACCAGTGGCCAGCAGGACTAGGGAAGTTATTGTCCCCTTGTATTCTGCACTGGTGAGGCTGCACCTCAAATAGTCTGTCCAGTTTTGGGCTCCTCACTACAAGAAGGACACTGAGATGCTGAAGTGTGTCCACAGAAGAGCAACAAAGCTGATGAAAGGTCTAGAGCACAAGACTTGTGAGGAACAGCTGAGGGGACTGGGATTGTTTAGTCTGCAGAAAAGGAGGCTGACGGGGAGACCTTATTGCTTTCTACAACTACCTGAAGGAGGTTGTAGCAAGGTAGGTGTCAGTTTCTCCTCCCTAATCACAAGTGATAAAACAAGAGGAAATGGCTGCACGTTGCTCCAGGGGAAGCTTAGATTAGATATGAGGAACAATTTCTTTACCGGCAGGGTTGCCAGTCACTGGCAGAGTCTGCCCATGGAAGCCATCATCCCAGGAGATATTTAAAAGATGTGCAGACGTGGTGATTAGGGACATGGTTTAAGAGAGGACTTGGCAGTGTTAGGTTTATGGTTGGACTTGATCTGTTTTTTTCCAACCAGGACAATTCTATGATTCTGTGATTATAAAAAGGGAAATGCACATAATTTGCACCATACCCTCCTGGCCAGTATACATATCAGAGCAGGTAGTGTAAGGGAAGGTCAGTCATGCAGGCCCCTCCCTTTCAGCCTCTCCTCTTACCTCCTTTACCTCTAACCTCTGATTCTCCATATCTCCCCTGCACTGAAAGGCTGGAAAAGGCACTTATCTCTATTATATGTTGATAAGAGACTCACAACAACAGCAGCAGCACATCTCATGATCACCCCATCACCATAGCAGTTCCTTGGGCCCTGCCTCTCTGGGTCTCTGCCCACCATTCCCCACAGACTGGATCTTCTTTGCCAGTAATCCCACTTTCTCTCCCAAGTTTTGAACCCCAAAGCAAAGGAAGGGAAGGCACACAAAGACAAACAGGACATATTTAACTAATTCTTGGGTAAATACCAATTACATTTTGTCAACAAATCAGCATGGTGGAATTTTTCCATCTGAATGTACAACTATAGGATGTGGTTAAAAAAAACCAAAAAACCAACACAAAAAACCAAACTGAAAACAGAGAAAGAGCAAAAAAGATTGTTCAGCAAACACAATGGAGATCTACAGCTTGGATTTTAACAATGACTTGGACATACATCTTCAGTGACCCTGGGTGAGTCATTTCATTTCCTAGTGCATTAGTTTCCTAAACTCCAATGCACAGGTAATATGTAATAAATGCTGCTGTTTCAAAGCATGTCACAGCAATCTCTGTAATGAGGTTTTTTGATGGAAATTGCTATAAAACTGAAGGATAAAACATACATACAGGGCCAACACAATATGTTAATACCTTTTTAAATGATTCATTAGTATTTAAGATATAACAGATAGGCCAGTAACAATAGCACAGAAAAAGCAGCAAATACATGTGCAAACTGCTGCCATGACCAGAAAAAAAGGTCTTGACTGTGGCAGTGAAAGAGGAGATAACTAGAAAGGAGACCACTCCAGGTACCATTTCTTTACCTACAAATATGAAGAACAGGGAAAGAATCAGGGCAAAAAGGTTCTTTAGTTTTGGTGAATTTTCAGTCAATATAATGAAGTAAATGGGCTGCGAGGAGGAAAATTTTAGCTATTTCACTTTTGGTGTGAGCACCCCTGGAGGTTAGCTCTAACCCTCTAGAAGCCAGGATAGCCAACCTAGAACAACAGTTCAGTAATAAATCCCTGTTTGCCCATGGATGAGGGTCCCCCTAGATTCCTACCATCAAGAAATATGTCTCGTATTTAATTTATTATTCTATATTTCTTTAAGCGGGATGGCTGAGTACAGCCAGATAAAAGAACAATAATTCAGTTTTCTTTTTCCTATCCAGCATCTAATCTAATTAAATCAGTAAAGCCCCCCCCCAATTGGATTAATCTGTAGGCATGCCTTTTGCAGCAACATAATGGATAGGATTCTTCAGCAAGTATTCATTAACCTTAGAGAAGTTAACTTAACAACAGATATTCCTTCAAAGAGAAAGAAAAAAGTTGTGAATTAAATAAAATCACATTTAGGGATATATTGGTGATGACGATTCAGAGAGGAAAAAAATAGAACCTAAAAGGCTTTCCCAAATGTAGAAAAGTGAAGAAAATACAAACTACATACTCAATTTCTTGATTTTTTTTTTTTTTTTAATTGTTAATCATACTGGCCTCCAAGATGTTACGTTATATAGTTTATAGTTCTGTGATAAAATGTTTTGACTCAAAAAAATAAATGTTTGGAAGAGGATATGTATTCAAGAATCTTTAGATAAAGGACCATGTTACTACATTTCTGGAACTGCGAAATTGTTTACATTTTTTGAAACTGGCCCACTAACTTGATATTCATCCTAATGTAACACTGAACACCTAAATGGGAAAGGAAACTACATACTGTTGGTGATAAAAACCACAGCCCTACTATGAAGGCTAGATAAGACTAAATGTTGCTATTCATGAAGGGTATTTTCACAGCTTTTTTTCAGGGAGATTATTAACAAGTAATCCATTATTGAGATGGGAAATTGAGCTTTCTGTTTCAGAGCGCAGCCATCCTCATACACCTATTCTTTTTCCTGAATTGTCCTTTTCCTGGTTCAACTCTACTTTTTATGCCCATTGTGTTGCTAAAAAAAACCCCACTTGTTGAAAGTCTGTTTAAAAAATGCATGTTGCTGGATTTTTTTCTTTTGCTGGCAGATTCTTACAGAGCTGCTTCCCAAACAATACCCTCAAATATAGTCTGGGTGTGAAAACTTCCTGGAGAAGTGATTCACTTAAGGTTGAAGTTATTCTTAATTATAGGATGCTGTCAGCTCAGACGTTTCTCCAAGAAAGATCTCTGACTTTTATATGGCAAAGAGGCTTGTGACTTTTAAAATGGCCTTCAAAATCCAGGTAGAAAGTTAAAGAAAGCAAACAATGCATCTGTCGTATGTGGTGTCTTTAATCTTTCTTGTTGATGCATCCAGGACCTGACACAGGCTACGTTTCTAGTAAGGAAAATTTTCTCCTGCATTTTCTTTTTCTTAAGCCACTTTTGTGCCCCTTTTTTAGGGAAAAACCCTGGTAAACCGCAAAAAGGAAGTTCATAATTTTCCAGTAATGCACATATCTTTTCTACAGGATCAAATCAAAGTAGTCAATATCATGTAAAATCTCCCTACACACACAAAAAAAAACCCAACAAAAAACCAAAACCAAAAAAACCAACCAAACAAACAAAAAAACCACCAAGGAGAAAACCAAACAAAACACCAAATGCAAATACTATCAAGGTAGTGGTGATGTTGCATAAAAGAGGAAAATCAAGTGACTGTTTTGTTAGCTGTTTACAGTTTGATGAGTTCCATGTCTTGTTTCTTCCATTTAAAAATCAAAAAGTGGTGTGGTGGTGTCATTGTGCAACAGAGAAGACATTGCCCATGCTGGCTGAGACAAGCTGGGTGTAGTCAGGCATTGAGATGAAGGTGGGAAGGAAGCCATGTGCTCACCATGCAAGCACTGGCTGGAGGAGTTCAGAAGCAGATGAATCATAAAATGGTTTGGGTTGGAAGGAACCTTAAAGATCATCTAGAAGACTGTTCTGAGGTCTCCCTGGAGCCTTTCCAGGCTGAACAACTCCACCTACCCTCTACCAAATCTTTGCATATGTAATGAAATGGAAAAATCAACAAAATCTAAAGAAAATATTAAAATTCTGTTCTACTGTAATGAATTCAGGTAATCTGTTGGTTTGGGAGTTTTCTGGGTTTTTTTTAAACTTTACACCCCCATACTCTGCTGTATAGTAATTCCTCAGGTAAAAATCCTTTTCCTACTAGAATCTAGAACAGATGTTTCTTGAGCACTCCATTGCTTTACAGAAGTTAATTTGTTTAGGCAAAGCCCAAGGATATAGTAGAGCTTTTTCAAGAAAGGTGTCATAGGCAGCTGTAAATTAATGGAACCAAGGAATATCTGGTGCAATAATTTGTTTTAGTAGAAATAACATATTTGTACTATAAACTCCTGCCTAATTCTCTACAACATATTACATCCATTTTATGCTAATGTAGTTCCAAGGAAATGAATGATATTTATACTGACATAAAGCAGGGATGAGTCACATTCTCAATTAGTCTCTTCAGTTCAAGAACGAGTATAAGAGATTCTTATTCATATTCTAGAATTTAGCCTGCAACCATGTTCACATATTTCTGAGAACCTGAAAATTTAATTACATTTATAGGGCTTCAGAGCACCCATCAGAGAATCATAAAAAGTTACTTTATGAGGATATTTTAAAAAATTTTGTTATTGTGACTTCACAGGTCTTCTGTTTCATTAATTTGTTCATAAAAGGAGTCACTGGTCTCTAGCATTTTGGGGGAGGTTTAAATTTTTTTCTGTGATCTATAGGAATCATAAAAGGCATATAAAGTAGCATACCTGCTCAAAAGTAGGCTTGATACTGATATTGATTCTGCTATCAATTACAAATATTATTCTTTTATTTTTATGGTTGGGTTTTATTTCCCCTTAGTTGAAATAATATGTGAAGCGTATGCCAGTTTGAAATATAACCCACTTTTAACCTTCCAAAGTTAAAAATCACAGATTATTTTTTTTTACAATTACGTCTTTCTAATTGAATTTGTTTCTTTTTGTTAACATGAAATATATATATTCTTAAATAGTAGTGATCTGAATATATGATGTGTGAGTGCTCAAAGGCTTGCCAGTATAATGGTGCATTAAACAGGCAGGAATTTAAATAGATAATCTAAGGCAAACTTGCCAGGGTAGTTCTAAAGATTTGGTTGACTGAATTTAGGTTGATCAGAAATATTCAGAGACCTTGGTTTTGCAGGCAGTTCTTTGTTAAAGAGCAAAAGAGGAGAGCTTCTCATGCACACACTGGACCGTCACATATACAACTTCAGGTTTTGGCTTATTCCAGCTAATAGCCTGGATCAAGATCTCCAAGATCAAAATGGCATTTATCAACTTTCTTGCAGTAACATTTGTATACATTACAAACTTTATTTCTTTTGAGGTGGGAAACCTAGATATATAGCATTAGGTTTGGGTTTTTTATTCTTTTTCAAAACAGAAAATGAAAGATATGAAATACTGTTATAGCTGTGTTTTGTCCCTGAATTCTGGGATTGAGAGCTTTGTGTGTTGTTTTTGTTGTTTCTATTGTAGATGATGGCAAATGATATTTCCTGGATATTATGTTTAAGTCTCAGTGGGCCTTTTTTTTTCCCCCACAACTGAATCAACTGCATTTTCTGCTAAGTCTGAGATTAATATATATGTGTGTCCCTTTCATTTTAGTAGAAATTCTATTTGCTTCAAAACATATGTACAATAATACACAGAGTGTGGCATCTTACTTAATTCTTCAAATGGTGAATAAATTCTTC